ATAATTAGTATCCATGTTTGGCACTGGTAACACAGGCTGGGATGAATATGCTTTGTATGATATTCTTCTTTGGGCTGATAAGTACTGTCTTATGTTGTAGGAGTGAAGCTAGTTTTCTCAATACAGGTAGTCCTTGACTAACCACAATTGACCCCAAAATTGCTGCTGTTAAGCGAGATATTTGTTAAGTGAGCTTTGCCCCATTTTATGACAGTTCTTGCCACAGTAGTTAAATGAATCACTGCAGTTGATAAGATAGTAACATGGTTGTTAAGTGAATCTGGCTTCTCCATTGATATTGCTTGTCATAAGGTTGCAAAAGGGAATCACACGACCCTGGGATATCGCAACAGTCATAAGTATGAACCAGTTGCCAAGTATCTGAATTTTGATCTCATGACCATGGGGATGCTACAAAGAGCGTAAGTGTGAAAAACGGCGATAAGTTACATTTTTCAGTGAAGGGTCACTGAGTGACCTGTTGAAAGTCAAGGTCTACCTATGCTTGGTTTGCCTTACTACTTTGTATGTTGATCTCTTCGTCCATTTTACCATCTTTGGTGAATGTTGTTCCCAGATACTTGATGTGATTAACTGGGTGTGGCACAAAGGCAACACAGTCAAATAAGCAATAAGAGTCCCTTTAATATCTCCAACTTTGCCCCCAATGTCCAGGTTACCTTTGGCTGGAGAAAAACTCTCCCAGGAACAGCCTTTAACTGTGGAAAATTCAGTCCAAAACAAGGTACACACAAACTATAACTTAAAATCCAAACAAACCAAACAAATATTTTACCTCCCAGCTCCCCATAGCAGCTACTTTTAAATCCTGATGTTCACTATAGCCATTGTAGCTAATATCCGTGTATGGATTTGGTATTTTTCAGAAGCTCCTTTTCTTCATTGAGACAGTAATGTTATTTGGGGCTTGGGATGTCACAGAGAGATTTTTTTGAAGATAGATAGCTTCTCTCTCTTTTTTAATAAGGCAACTTCAAGTCATCCCATGAAAGTAATTAAAGAGAGATACAGGAAACTGAAAAAAAAAAGTTCTATCTTCATAAAATGTAGAATTATATGCCTTGAAATGGTTATCATTAACTCAAATATCCTTAAAAGAAAGCAAAAGAAATTGATAAGGGATAATAAACTTATCAATGGCAACTAATCAAGACAGATATTTCCAATATATCAGAAAGGAGAAAGATTGCTATACTCCCACAGGAAGAGCCCATAATCTAATTCTTTTCAGGTAGGATGGCTGGCTAAAATGATGGAATTTTCTGAATCACAAACAGTCATATATAATTCCAGAATCTGCCTGTTTCAAAATGTTTCTGAGCCAAACGTTGCCTCCAAATACCTAGAGTTATTGAAAACATTTTTACTCCTACATTTTTGCTATAAAGTAACCACAGGACTCGAAACAGAAGTTACAGTTTGAGCTGCAAGGTAGAAGCTTGCGAAAAGAGAAGATAATGGATTCTTCTTGTTGTTATTGTTATTAAATTTATTTGACACCCATCTCTCCACAAGGTCTTTTACAACTCTTTACAATTTTACAACTTCTTTACAAATGCCACATTTGCTTTGTGACCGTTGTGTTTGTTTAACAACCCGCTACAAAAATCATGAAATTGGGTCTGATCACATGATGATCTGTTTTATGTGACTTATGATTGTAATTGTGTCCCCCAATAAACTCAGGGACTTGACTTTACTTTATTGTCATTGCACTTCATACAACGAAATCAAGCACCATCTTCAGTGCACATCATGACCATGAAAACAAACATAAACACGCATGCTTCACACTCCAGACATTGAATTGTAAACCCCCAATACCACACCAACACTGCACCATACAGCAGAATTCAAAAGAGCTACTGTCCTGGGATAGAAGCTGTTTTTCAGCCTATTTGTCCTTGTTTTTATTATCCTGTACTGTCTGCCAGATGATAATAGTTAAAAAAAAAGGGGTTCCCAGGATGAGATGGATCTTTGAGAATGTTTTGAACTTTCTTAAGGCAGCAGGAGCTATAAAGCTCTTCCAAAGAGGGGAGAGGGCAACCAATGATCTTCTGGGCAATGACGTTAACCCTCTGGAGTGCTGTCCTGTCTGCCCCTGTGCAATTGGCAAACCAAACAGAGGTGCAGTAAGTTAAGATACTCTCTATGGTGCAGCGGTAGAAGGTCACCATCAGTTTTTCATTCAGTTGTTGTTTTCTGAGAAGTCTCAGGTAGTATAATCTCTCCTGGGCCCTTTTGACCAGGGCTGCAATGTGAGCACCCCAGGTCGGGTCCTCTTTTAGGGTAACACCCAGAAACTTAAAACTGGCCCCTTGCTCCACTCAATCTCCATTGATAAGCAAGGGCTGGATGTCTGATCTGTTCTTTCTCTAGTCCACTATAAGCTCCTTGGTCTTATTGGTGTTGAGGACCAAGTTATTGTCTCCACACTCAAAAGCAACTGGTCTACCTCATCTCAATAGGCAGACTCATCCCCACCCCAGCCTGGAGATGAGTCCCACCACTGTTGTATCATCTTCAAATTTAGCAACAGTATTAGTAGACTATGTGTACAAGAAAAATTTCCAAGAATTTGTGCCTATGAACAGTACTTCTTTATATAGTTAGAAACAAAAGACAAAAACACCAGGCAAGGAAACATGTCTCCTTACAAAGCACACTGAAATCTAAGAAATTGAATGAAGCTTTGCAGCAAGTTATCACTTGTATTTTCAGTCCACAAACAACAACAGAAAGAGGCTTTTAGTAGCGTAAAGAGAAATTTTCCAAGGGTGTCTTTTAAAAAATTATTTCAATTTGTTTATTTAATTTTTTCTACTTAAAGCCCACTCAGAGCAGAATGTTTGATACATCGTCATCAAAATGGTTCAGTGATACAAGTTGCAAAGGTGCTTTTTTTTCCAAGAGGCAAATGGACTTTCTGGGGTTTTTTTTCTTTGAAGATGTTTTGCTTCTCATCCAAGAAGCTTCTTCAGTTCTGAGCTGAACCTCACCCCCCCAGAAAGTCCAGTAGCCTCTTGAAAAAAGGCGCCTTTGAGACAACCATGACCTGGAGGACTGAAAATCTCCATAGACATTTTGCAAATTAGGTGTTGTGCTACTGCACAGAATATCCTACCCAGCATTGGCAGCTGCAGCCACCCCAAGCACAGATCTCTTTACAATCAGATAATATAATATTGGAAGAAATTTTCCTGAGTTTGTTCCTTTATGAACCTTTTATGCTTAATTTCACTTTGAAGCTCCTGCAGCTTGATGGGTTTATTTGTATGCCTCTAGTTAAAGTGATTGTCCTGGATCCTGGATCCTGTCTTCCTGCCTTAATAGGTTAATCCTGTCCTAGGACTTTTGTCTTTTCTATCCTGGGAATTAACCTTGTCAGGCGGGGAGGAAAAAGGGAGTTTTGGTTTACCTTGGAGAGTTTATTTTTAGCCTGATTCCCCTTATCTTGATGGCTCTACTTATTTCTGTGGTCAGCTTTTGTTTTTAACAGCTGTTAGCAAGCTGCTCCGAGTTTTTTCTTTCAGCTGGTGATTCTTGGTTTTCTTAAAGGGGAAAGGGCTGGCTTGAGTTTCTTGGTACTCTTTTCTGAGGTTTCTGGTGCTGTGAGGTTTCTGGCATTATCCTTTTGGGGTATACTTCACACAACAACCAGTTAAAATATTATGTTATGTGGCACAAACAGGAGCTTAATCCATGGAGTATTTTTTTTCCAGAGCACCTGAGGGCAGGACTAGAAGCTTGTCAGAGGGAGATTCATCCTGGAACTAAGCAGAAATTTCCTAACAGTGAGAACATTTAAACAATGGAATAGGTTGCCTCCCAGAATTGTAAGTGCTCCGTCGCTGGAGGTTTTCAAGGAGAGACTGCACAGCCAGACAGAAGATTAAATTGTTTACTACTCAGGAGCCAAAAAATGAAAAAGGAGCGGTATTGTTTTTATTGCCAGGGAGGATATAATGAAGACAATCTGGTCAATGGCTGAATAATACCAATTAGGTGGGAAATATTATTTCCTTTATTTATTTATATCCCACTTTTATTATTTTTACAAACAACTCAGGTTGACCCAACATATCCTATACAACTCCCCACTCCTTCCCCCCAACAACAACCCTGTGAGGTGGGCTGGGCTGAGAGTAAGTGACTGGCCCAAAGTCAACTAGCTGGCTTTCATGTTAAGGAGGGACTTGAATTCACTGTCATGGCTGAGGTGGATTAGAATTCACTGTTTCCTGGTGACTGGCCCAAAGTTACCTAGCCAGCTTTAGTGCCTAAGATGGAAGTAAAATACCTGTGTTCAGAGTCCCAAAGTCACCCAGCTTAGCTTTCATGGCTAAAGCAGAACTAGAACTCACTCTCTTGCTTTCTAGCCTGGTACCTTAATCACTACACTAAAAATATTCCCTTTATTTATTTTATAATAATCTTTTTGTGCATAACCTTTTCTGTATGGGCAATAACTGCACGCTTCTACCCTACATATCCCGTTACTGATTCTTCTAGTTGAAGATAGATTTGGGACCTCTGCATAAATGAACTTTACCCTACAGTTATATGGAAGCTAAATTTGGACTGTTCCACATTCATCAAGTCAGAAAATATTTGTCCATATTTAAAGGTCAGATTGGCTGCATTCATTCAAGTCTTAAAATTTGCTACAGTCACTCAACAATGAATTGAATTGACTACATATCCAGAGACCCAGCTTTATCAAGTCATATAACTGCAAAAAAAAACACACATTTTTTTCCCCCCACAAATAGTAATCTGCTTCAGATCCTGCCACGCAACATGGGAAGGTCAGGGACTCAAAGTGAGTCATGAAAAGAAAATTTGGCACAGAGCCTGCATGTATTTCCTTATCCGTCTTCTATATCAGTAAATACTTTGTGTGGCCTGATTGCCTGAAGAGCTGGTTTGGGTTTTATCTTAGCTGTTTTGGCAGGAGATGCAGCCAACATTAAGTGTGTGTGTGTGTGTGTGTGTGTGTATGCATGTGTGAGTAAATACATTAATTAAAGTGACACCTTTATCAAATACAATATAAACCGGTCTGCTAAGACAAGGAATCTGAAGAGATCCGTGGCCTTCATGATAGCTCTTTCTTCCATTTGGGAGCCTTAAAAAGAAATCTTCAGCCAACCTTCCAAAGAAACCACACAGCTCGTCTCTCAAGACTTGGTCACTTTTATTTTTACAGGTAGTCCTCGACTTACGACCACAGCTGAGCCCAGAATTTGTGTCGCTAAATTTGTTCAGTGAGTTTTGCCCCGTTTTATGATTTCCCTTGCCCCGTTCGTTAAGGGAAATCGCTGCAGTCGTTAACTTAGTAAGGCGGTTGTTAAATGAATCTGGCTTTGCCCATTTGACTCGGCTCGTCCCAACGTCCCAAAAGAGGATCGCACGCTCCTCCCCCACCAGGACACTGTCATAAATACGAACCCATGGTCAAGCATCCAAAAGTAAATCGCGGTGACCAATGGGTCGCAAGTCTGAAAAAGGGTCACAACCAAGTGGCCCTTTTTTTCCCAGTGCTGTTGTTCAAAGTTACGAACACTGATGTAAGTCAAGGACTACGGTACCTTTACCATGGAAAGCAATCAGTCGGCCACCCAAGGAACAAGGAAGATGGTGCAAGCGGAGGGGGGGGTGCAGTGGTTAGAGTGCAGTACTGCAGGCTACTTCTGCTGACTGACTGCAGTTTGGCAGTTCAAATCTCACCAGGCTCAAGGCTGACTCAGCCTTTCATCCTTCCCAGGTGGTTGCAAAATCCAGACCCAGATGGTTGAGGGACAACAGGCTGACTCTGCAAAACCTCTTAAGAGAGAGTGCTGTAAAAACATTGTGAAGCGGTATATAAAGTCTTCAGTGCTATTGCTAAGGTTTCACAGCGCCCTTGAGTCCTCCACTCCGCGCTCTCTTTTTCCCGGGCTACCTTCAGCCGCACCTGTCCTGGCCGGGGATCGGGAAGGAGGGAGGGAGGGGAGGAACGCCTTTTCTTCCCCTCCCGTCGGCCTGTAGAGGCAGCAGCTTCCCCGAGCCGAGGGCGGTGCCAAGTTAGAAGCCGACTGACTTTTTTCGGCACTCTAAGCCGCCCAATTCTCCCCGGTGTGTGTGTGTGTTTCCCTCCCCCTTCCTTCACAACCGCCCCATCCCCGTTTCCAAAAAGGTGGCCGGGGGAGGTGCCGGGAAAGGCGGAAGGAAAGTACTTGGCAAGCGGGCATCCGAGCCAAAGAAGGAACAAGGCTTCCCCACGCCGGTAAGTTTTCCTCAAGATCGAGAGTCGGGCTTTATTGGGTTCCGAAGCGGGACGAGGCCGGGAGTCGATGGGTCGGTACCTTCGCTGCAGGAGCGAAATCGGGGTCTCTTCCAGGGTTGCAAGGCCGAGGAGCTGAAATGCAGCGAGGTTTGGCGTTGCGTGAGATTTGTGCGCCGTATTATATATAGCAGGCTGTGCATCGGAAAGTTTTTTCGAAGGCAGGTTTTTGTTTTTTTTAATTGATTTTACTTTTTGCAGAAAAACACAACTCTCTTTTTGTGGCTCCGTGGGGGTTTGCCTGTCATACAAACCCTCAAGGGTTTAGAGTGGGGTTTTTGCACCCCCCCTCCCCTCCTTGTAGCCTGTTGCTACATTTTAAGGAGGAACTTTACAACATCAGAAACCGTCGCGGGCGCGAAAAGCGCGCCTGCTGCTCTTCAATTCCTGGGAGAAATGAATTTTTAGCCGTTTCTAAAGTCACTCCGAATTCTCCCACCATTCCCGTTAGGAAGTAGAGCTCTGTCGTCTTCTACTCTTTTAGCGTTAGGGCTGTTGATTTTGAAGATAGTGATCTCTGCTGATGTGTACAGGAAGTGTTGTGGTTACTTTAAAGAAATGAGCCCCAACTACGGAATCCTGTTTTAGACAAAGGTGAGGTAGGTTGTAATCCCTGTTTATGCTGTTTTGGAAGCCCTGCAAATCCTGGCTTACCTCTGAATAAGGCATACAATATAGTTGCACCTGTTGGGGTTTCCTCCCATGGTGGGTGATGGATATTACCAGGAGCCACCCTGGCTTGTTGTATCTTTTATGAGCCAGGATCCTAATTGTTAATGATGTGGTGCAGTTTGTAGGTGCACTTTTGAACACTGTTCTAGCACAGTGCCTGAATGAGTGAAGGAAATACATCAGGAAAACTATAAGAAGGCACAGGTTTTTGCCTTAAAAGTGCCTATGCTGATTGACCTGCCTGGATGGGAATGTAAAACTAGTTACCACAATTGAATAGAAAATGCAATATATTGGCATAACAGTTAAGTTATCAATGGGCACTTTCAATCTGTTGATTTAATTCTTTGGACATTTTTCAGCTGTTGTCACAGAAAGTGTGTCCACCTTCGAAAAGAATAAGGCTTTCCCCTGAGTAAATCAGCATAGTATTATATGCACGACATACTTCAGTTTATGTTTCAATGCCTCAAAATGAAATTGTTTCTTTATTACTACAAACTGGTGGATTTCAGTAACGTATATGTTAAGGCATTTACAGTTATAGAGACGTTCCCACACTAAGTTGCCATTTGCTTTCATAAAGTCTGTTCAACAAGCTGTAGTGGCTGGGCTTAGCCACCAAGTACGATTTACAAATATTATGTAGTAGGTTCACATGATGCAGCCCTTAGTCAACCACTTAGTGCAGAGGGGGAAATCTACCTCCTCAAAGGTAATTATCACGGAATTAGTTCTTAGTACTGTAGAAAGTTTCTTGAAGACTTGCCAAGATTAATCCTAAAACAATTCAACTAGGACAAATTGTGCTGGTTTTACCATTTTGAACTGAAAAGCAACCTAGAAACTTAAGGGGCATGGCAGGGAGGAGGTGGGCAGCAAGGATGTCAGAAAAGTCAAAATGGCTGCTAGGAGTACACAGTACATCTTTTTATTAAATCTCCATATTTTTAAGCAGCTAGCTTCACTGATGATTGCTTATATCCTGATTTCATTTTCATCGTTTTTTACTTTCAAGTTGCCCAAGTAGATTTTTATAGAAACCTAAAGGAAATTAATGTTCTGATTTTATATGTCAAAATGTTCTAAGTTGCATCATTACTGAGGTTGCTGAATCTTGGCCATTGTGCACGTATGGTTTGGTGACTTTTGCTTTTCTTTATGAGAAGCTTGGAAGTCACTTCTTCGGGGATAGTTGGGTGAATGAAACAGCACAGACACCCTTTTTAAAATACAAGCTCTATATGAGAAAGACAAGCTGGCATCGTTTCAACAATTTCAACCACTGCCTTTTTTTTTTTCATCTTTGCTCTTCTTTGTGTGCATTAAGTTGGGCTTAACGCTTTTGAACGCACCACCACATCCCGATTTTCTTGCAGATGAATTTGGGGCAGTAAATGGCTAGCCACATTTCATTTTGATGAAACTCTTCTATCGATTTTGCTGAGATTCAAGCCTTGCTATTAATCCTCTCAAGGGAGATTGTTCTGAATTTCAGGATATTGGCCTATCTTTAAAAAGTTTCACTACATGAGCCATTGACCACAGGTGAGCTTATCAAAACTGTTCTCCACTGAACCTTGAAATATCCAAGAATTACAACCCCCCCCCCCCCACTTTTTTTTCTGCTGTTATGCAAAAGTTTGGGGATTAATTGATGCTCTTGAAGAAAGACTTCAAGTAAAATCCTAAATAAATTCCTGTACAGTCTCGTCCTATGCCTGGCTACTCATAATTTTTGTCTCTTTTATATGTTTTTCTGTTATTGTTTTTATATTATTCTTTAAGGAGAATAATTTTCAATTCAGAATTGTGTTCTTTTGAGGTAAATATGAGTCTATGATGTATTGAAGTTACAGTCTCGCATGCAGATGAGTGCTTTGGATTAAAAAAAAATAATCCAGAGTTTACATGGGTGTATGCTCAGCCCCTTCAAGCAGCCAAATTTTATTCCCCTGGGCACATACAGCTGCCATGTGATCCTGGGAAAAGCCATACTTGGTCTGAAGTATCCTTAATAAGACCACGTGTTTCCATTCAAGCTCCAAATTCCGTCTTGCCCTTCAAAGCTGAAACAGTGCACAATCCTAGGAAATATCTCACGCTGGACTTAGTGTGACAATAATCTTTTATTTCATGCTATGTCTGGGTGCTTCCTTGCTTCCAAATTTCTGTTTCTCCTGGAGAATTCTCCCTTGTGCAGCTTTTGGGTGACACCATGTGACAGAGAGAAGGAGTTCAACAATTAATTTCTCCTACTTTGAGACACACGAGAGAGTTTTAATTTACTAAGGCAAACTTCACTTAATGGAATGTGGCCTTCCACTCAACAACCATTTCTTTTTCAGATGTATATATGCTTGTATGTGTGTGTGTGTGTATTTTTTTTTCTTAAGTTTTTGCGGGTACTTACATGTATGGCATTCAGCTTTGTTCAGGTATTTTCCCATGTCATTGCAGTTGTGCTTTTAAAGTTGTAGCAATGTTTTGGCAGAATCTCATCTGGGAAAATACCTGAACAAAGCTGAATGCCATATATCTCTATCTCTATCTCTATCTCTATCTCTATCTCTATCTCTATCT